CCGCTCCTGGACCACCCTCCGGGGAAATGGTGGCGCTCGCTCCCCAGCATCCCGGTGTTGGGCCGCATCCGCCAGCTCGACAGCCTCCACCAGCTCAGAGGTGGTGGTTGGGTTCCTCATCCCAACTGCCTGTCGGTGAGATCGGGGAAGGGCTCGGAGGAGACGGTCGATCACCACGCGCTCCGCCACCTGTCCAGTCAATGGAGCCCCCTCCAGCAGCCAATGCCATGAGGGGTCAGCTTGGGTAGCAGCTTCGCGGCCTGTACTCGGGGGTCCGGCAGCGGAAAGCGTTGAGCGGCGGCGGCACGAATGACCGCGAGCTCCTGCTCTGTCTCCCCTTGACGGGTGGCGAGGTGCTCGACGATCTGCTGCTGGCGGATGCTGACCTCGGTGAGCCGCTGGAGGATTTCGTCCATGTTGGGGGAGGAGCGCTCGCCTGTGACAGAACCCGGAGACAAAAACAAAGGAAAACGGTGAGGTGAAGAAAATCGCTTGTCGGTGATTCTTCACTGATTTGCCCGCATTCTCCACCAGTGTAACAGGGTGAAGAATCACACGACAAGGATATCTTAAGAAATACCCCGGAGGGTGGATTTATTAGTGAGGTGGGTGCTAGGGAGAAAGGTCCAGGTCGGTGCTCCGGTGCCGTGAGTGCTCTCTTCCGTCTTCCCAGTGCAGAGGGTCCGTGCAGTGCTCCTGTGGTGCTGGTTGGTCACACGCTGCTGTCTGTGGGAGAAATGAGAGGGCGAGTTAGTGCTCAGTCTCATGGAGAAGTCTCCCAGATGGCAGGGCTTGCGGAGCTTATGTGGCCGCCGCCTGATGAGCTGCAGCTGTGACCGATCAGCCTGTGATGAGGACGGCCAGGTGCTCCTCGCTCGTTTCCAGGGCGACGCTGATGCAGCTTCGGGACGCTCGTCACAATATATATAAGAAATATTTGAAAGATTAAAGAAATATTATGTTTCTAGGTAACTAATCAACAACACATTTGTGACCATGAAATGACTGCAAAAACAGCACTACCATCCCTGTACTTTTTGAGATTGCTTTTAATTGATGTTCTTTTAATGCATTTCGGGAGTAAATCTTGTGTTAGTTCCAATACGTGTCTTTTTTTTAAATTACTCACACTACTGTTTTTATGCTGATAATACAATTATAATATTATATTTAAATATTTTGTA